AAAAAATTATTGATGTGATGGAAAATATTATTTTATTGAAGAATGTATGATTGAAAATGAGAATTGATTTACTGTAAAAAAAATCTAATCCCTCTCGAACAGGACCTGAATATCAAACACATAATTGACATATATTACGAATGTGTCTCTTTTTCAATCATGTTCAACTGAATTCAAAACATATTTCGTCATTAGTGTTCAACATAGGATTTGTATAGAAGTCATGCCACATTCTAGTGACCTCCAACACGCACAACACTTTTTGTCCCCCCTGTTAATGAAAGATCAGTGGGTAATATATTTGGCTTTTTCATGCTGATTTTTTTTTTTTTAATTTTTTTCTGGGGCATTTTCTTGATGAGCTTTGCTACACGTACATGGGAGTTGACACTCCCGCGTAGATGCCCCCCCTCACAAGATGTGTGTGTATTTTAATCACTGTGGACCCCCCTCTTGTGAGGGGGCATGTCAACTCATATGTACATTTAGTATTTTTCTTTTTCGATTCCAACTCGTGACAATAGGATTTATAGAATTCTATAGACAAGGAAGATAAGGAAAATGGTTTTGTTTGGTGCGGCGTTTTAATATACCGTAACATGATTAACATAACGTATAACTTATAATTTCAAAAAACTTATATTTTTAGTTGCAATCATTGTAACTTATCGAGTACGAAGTTTCCAAAAATTTCACTGTAAAAAAATATTAATTACATTGTAATTTGTCAAAAAAAATTATACTAAGTAATTTGTCATTTTTCTTTAAACACTAGTTAATATTATAATTATGTAATATTTATCAAAAATCAATATTTTCACCCTAATTAACCCTTTATTTTTCCTTTTTACGTCCTCGTTATATCATTTTCTTATTTATTTAGTCACAATTCGATTTAGATTTTTAATAAATTTTGATAAAAATTGATATGACTCGTGGTTAAAAAGTTTTTTAATCCCACTAAATGTATCGATAAAATTAATTCCTATACTCTTAAAACTTTTTTTTTTTCATATACATATTTTGTATATTCATTTTCAATTGCATATTCACACAATAAAATATTATACATGTAAATTCAAAAATTTTCACCACTTTTTAACTACACGTTCTTCTAAAAAATACAATTCAAAACTCTTTTTCGAAAAGAATAGCCACCAAACAGGGGCTTAATAATGAGTTAACGATACAATGAACTTTTAATAAACAAAGAATGACTTCTAACGATCAAATTAATGAAATGGGACGGAAAGCACCATAAACGCACAAAATCAATAGTACCAAGATGACCATTTGAGCCAAATTCCCAATTTTTCAAGGTTAGCCAAACGTTTACTGTACAACCACAACACTCAAGATCCTTCACTTCATTTGTATCATTGTATGGTGCCACGCTAGAATCAAGTGCCAAAATTCAACAGAATCACATTCGTCCCATCTGAATTTCTGGCTGACCATCACAGTATAATCACAATCAATTCATTTCATATTCTTCCCGCTCCCTCTCTCTCACAGGAGATTCGCGCTTATGTTTCCAAGGGTTTGTGATACCTTAGATTCAATCGAATTCTAGGTTTTTCATGCTTGTATAATTTAATAGAACGCATCTCGATTTTTTTTTTCTGCTCCTTCTGTTCGGAATCTGTGAAGATCTTTGAAATTCGAGGTTGGAGGGCTTTATTTTGTGTTTGATGATTCAAGAAGCGTTTAAGGATAGCATAGTTTTGAGTTATAGTTATAATTTAAGGACTTGAAGGAATTAATTATGGATATTGATTTCAATGGGGATGTAGTGAGTCTTGACGCGGAACTATAGCAGCTTCAGGAGGTGTCTCCTTTGGCTATCAAAGCCAATCCTTATATTGCCGAGAATCTTTTTGATCAGTGGCTTTCGCTTCCTGAAACCAATTCTTTGGTAAAGCTGTTGTTCTTTTAATTTCGTACTTTTATATCATAGTTTGCTGGCCATTGTGTAAAATTAGTAGACGTCAGCTGCTTATTGGACATTTATTTTGTGCTTTCCTTTACATGGAACCTTTTTTGGTCCAATGTTTGCTGTATTAGGTTAATGTTTGAGGAAGTACTTCAATGACAGATAAATAATATGTTGTATGAAATGCCAATTAGGTGGAAGGCTGAGTATAAAGGAAACTACATACAACACGAAGAGAAAACTTTGGGCTTTCAGGATGTAAAATGATTTTCTTTTCTTAAAACCGCTGGTGTTATCCTTTGTGTTTCAAGAATTTATTTTGTAGAAGATATGAAAGAATGTATGTGACCAATCAGAGTACTACAGGCAAAGAGAATGACAATAGGGATATTAGGAATCATGCCAATAGTCGTAATCTAGCTAAGACCTCAGCTGCTAAGTTTTGGGCTAGAAGAGACCTGGAATAGATTATGCATAGGGATCCAGGAATCTGTTAGTCCATTAACCATTGTGTGAATATTCTTGCTTCTGGACTACGACAGATATGAAGGTCAAATCATAAAGTTTTATAAAGTGGATTGATTTATGCGATATCTTGAGATGTTCTCTGTGAATATACCATTTGCATCCTTCTGGGCATGTGATGAATCTCAATAGCTGTGTTAGGGGCAAGAAAATTTCCAGGCGGTATCATGCAGGGGAGGTATTGTGGAAACCCTTAGAGATGAAGTATCTCAATCCCTCTTCGTTGTTTGGTACGACAAAACTAGGAGGGGGAAGGGCAAGTAGATTTGTCAATTAACTTTTGATACTCCTACATTACCAATAATTTTAATTTTTTTGGGTATTTGGGTGTTTTTGTTTTTTATTTTTTTTTCCCGAATTTTCTGTAACTCTTTAACAATACAGAATATTGCAAACGACCCAGAGGATTGTCTCACTTTTTCGATCTTTTCCTTCCTTGTCCCATCGAGACTCCTCCTTCCCCTTCTTAAACCTTCCCAATAATCCTGATTCCTCACAAATCCTCCTTACCAGAATCTAAGTGATGTACTAGGATATTGTTGGTGAGTACGGAATAATGTGTAAGTGAATTTAGTTTGAGCTACTATGTAGTTCCTGATATTTTGGTGTAGATACCATATGACGTACATAAGAAGTGATATTCTTGTAACGGCTTGCTTTGAGTGGATTCATTCGGCACTTGTTGCTCTTTATTGTAGGTTTAATTCAAAATGAGCCAGGGCTTGAATTAGATTTATGAGTCCACCTTTTCCATCTAGTAAATATAGATCTATTGACTTATACACAGTTGCTGGATTGATGCAGGTGGAACCTTTATAGTCTTCCTCAGATATTATTGAAATTATTAACCTCAGCTTAAGATTATTCAACTCCACCTATATTTGGTCCAGTAAGTAGGAAATCAACCTATCTTATATTCTATTGCATTTGCATGTACCCGTTACTCAAAGTCGGTGAAATTGTTATAAACTAATATAAGATTATACAAAGTCCTTCAATATTTGCAGGCGATGCCATTTTTCTGTTTGTTTCTTGCAAGTTCTTCCTGATTATGTAACATTCTTTCTCATTTTAGCCGAGATACGTAAAAGATCTAATTTACAAGTATCTGCAAATTACAGGTAAAATCGTTGCTTAATAATGTGAAGGGAGGTGCTCCCTTGAATGTCTCTGGGACATCAACTGGTTCAAATGCTGTCACAAGCAATTCTTTACCTTCTATGTTTCCCGCTGGCAGTACACCGCCACTGTCGCCAAGGAGTTTGTCGGGTTCCCCTCGGGTCATGAAACAGAGGGTAGGCCCATCTGCTTTTAGCTCTCCACTGAAATTAGTGAATGAACCTGTGAAAGAGCTTATACCTCAGGTTTGAATCTTTTAATAATATATATAGTGGCAATTGCTCTAGATTTTTCACTTTGTGACTGCTGCTTTTGTTTAAGTTTGGTTCTAAGATTAATAATTGGCAATACTGATGGAGCAGTTCTTTTTCAAAAATGGTCGTCCGCTGCCAAATGAATTGAAAGAGCGTTGCTTGTTCAGAATCAGTCAATTTTTTTATGGTCACGCAGATGGGCTCCAGATGCACGGTGAGATTTTCAGCTTTATTCATACTTGAATGTTTAGTTGCTTATTGTATTACAGTTGTACATGACATTTGAATGATGTGCTGTTTATGCTACTTATATTTTCATTGGATGCCAGAATTTAAACCAGTTACCAAGGAAATTTGCAAGCTTGCATCATTCTTCTCCACTGCACTATTTAGAAAGATTGATGTCAATGGCTCCGGCATTGTGACTAGGTAAACCTTATGTTAATTCTTATCACTATATTTTGTCCCTTGCTTAATCAAGCTTCATGCCATTTTAATTATTAGATTTTGCATTCATTCCTTACATGCACATGTACCAATGAAAGGAGATGCACTTTACCAAGTATATACCCTCCAAAAGAAAAGAACAAGTTGCTGAAGATGAAGTTATTTAAGAATTAGCACGTTGTCTTAGTTTCTACTACCTTGAATTAAGAAATATGGGCGCACGAAGTTCGTGCTTGTTAAATTTTATGCCTGAAATGTCCTCATTAGTATAATTTTCTCTCTATGATCTTACATAATTATTTTATTGTTATCACGAAATGTATCCATTGAATCTTGGTAGAGGTGATACTCGGCATGAACAATTTGTTTAGTAGTATCCTGCTCTCAACCTGTCCTCTAGAAGTTTGTGAAATATGCAACTATTATTGTACAAGTGCAGCAAGTTGATCTTGATGAAGTGTAAGTTGTGTATAATTGGAATTTGCACGTCTTTGCGTGCATTCTGCACATATGGTAGTTTTCTTATTTAGAATAAATCTTTTTAACCTATCTTTCGTATATAAGGAAATTTACTTAATTTTCACAATCAATCATAATCATATATAGATGCGCGTAATTATAGTAATCCTATAATTCAAATCAACCCGTCATAATTATATATAATTATATACATATATAGACACACTTAATTATAATAATCACATAATTTAAATCAATCAATCATAATTGTATATAATTATAAACATATATAGATGGACGTAATTGTAGTAATTATATAATTTAAAAATCAATCATAATTATATATAGTTATACATACATAGACGCACATAATTATAGTAATTCTATAATTTAACTCAATCTTAAATATATATATAATTATATACATATATAGACACGCGTAATTATAGTAACATTATAATGTAACTTAATCAATCATAATTATATATAGCCCTTGTTTGATCCTCATTATTTTCAAAATACATTTTTCTCTCTTTTTTTCAACTATACATTCTTCAATAAAATAATATTACATGCAAACTCAAAACTTTTTCTTATTTTTTAACCATACGTTTTCTATAAATCTACTATTTCAAAATGTATTCTTGAATAAAAATGGGGCTCAAACTGGCCTCTACCATATATTCACACATATATGGTAGTTTACTTATTTAGGAAGAAATTTTCCTAACTTATCTTTCATATATGAGGAAGTTTACTTAATTCCATTTAATTTTTCTATACATAGTACTAATATATATATACATATTTTTTATATTTATTTATACTATATATATCAATACACTTATACCATATATATATATTTATATTGTTCAGGAAATTGTACTTGTACGGTTGGTATGCAATTTTTTCCCCAAACTTTCATCCTCTTGCACTAAAGTCTTCAATTGGTACTAGGATTCAACTTAAGACTCTCATTAGGTAGAGGTCTTGGACTCGAATCCTAGAAAACGCGATAGAAATCCGTGAGGGGGTAAGTGGGCAAATGTCAACCCAAAGCGGAAAGTATGTATGATATTGATATGTAGGCTTAGCGTAGTGACCAGATTAAAGTTAAAGGTAACACTTAGCTGCTAGATATGTGTTGTTTTTAGAAATTAACAGCTGTATATTATGAATACATAAGTGTAAAACGATCAGGTAAATAGTGTTTTACTAGACTGATGATTAGCTGAAGAAGCTAAACTACAGTTTTACTGCATCAGTTATAGTTGCTGGTGGTTGACTGGTACATGTATTTGATTCCTGCTTTTGTTTAATCTTGTTTCAGTAGATATATGCACTCTTACTTTCTCTAACAATGTGCATACAGGGAGGCATTTGTTGATTATTGGATCAATGGCAATATGTTGACCAAAGATACAGCAACCCAGATATACACACTCTTGAAGCAGCCAGATTTTAAATACTTGACTCAGGTCATATGACTACCGAAAGTGATCTTTCTTGAAAGAAACTTGAATTAAGCTATTATTTCTTTTTCTTTTCTTTCTTACATTTGCAATTCTTGATCACCTTGAGTATAGGATGACTTCAAACCTGTGCTTCGAGAACTTTTGGCAACTCATCCAGGTTTGGAATTCTTACACAGCACACCTGAATTCCAAGAAAGATATGGTATGTCGTTCTTCACTTGCTGGCTAGCTTGATCAATTTTGGTTTATTTGCTTTTGAACGTTGGGATTTGTTTGTATGTTACTTATTTTATGTGTAATTATTGTTACTATTATTACATTTCATAATTACAATGCTGCTACTGCTGCTGCCACTTCCATATTTAAAATTATGTTTTTTGCTTATCACAGTTGCTCATGACATTTTTCTAAGCATTGGAACACTGTTAGAGCCATTGCTAATATGCATGTGATTGGTATATTGTTTTCTGAGTGATCACTTTGTTTCCTGACTAAGAATGTTTAGATTATAATACCTGGTTGTTATAGAATGTAAAATTTGAAAAGTAGTTTACCTAGTTGTTACAGAATGTAAAATTTGAAAAGTAGTTTACCTAGTTGTTACAGAATGTAAAATTTGAAATGCAGTGTTTGCAACTTCTATTAATTTTGCCTCAATGAGTAAAGAAGTTACAGAAGAACCTGAATTTGAGGCAGCCTTTCATCTTTTCTTCAATTTTCTTTCTAGTTATGCCAACTTCTCATGCAGTTTGCATGTGCTTAAAAAAGCTGCAGTACAGCATCTGCCACGTGTACTAGATACATGATTAGTCCCCCAGGTGAGATCCAACCTATGAAAAATTTGTAGTGACATTATCCTTCGATAAAGTAAAGATCATAATATAGTAATCATTACCAAGTTATAGAGGGGGAGATGATTGATATGACTCCTTCGGCCACGGTTATAATCCTTTCTTTAACATATCCATTGTTCAAGTCCTTGTGCTTCCAAAATAGTTCAAGAAAAAGTTCTTTTGACATACCTATTATGACCAAATAAATTTTATTCCTAAAATATTTGTAGAGAAAAAATCTATAGAAAAGTTGGATGGTATGTTCAAATACACGACCGATAGAGGAAAATGTATCGAACATGTTGTGATCTGAAACAAAAATATGCGTACACCTCTATTCTGTCTTGCCTATCCTCAAACTTGGAGCTATAATTTGAAATCATAAATTCACTCACACTTTCTTTTTGCTTAGTAATCTTCTTTAGATGGAGATTTTATATTTTTGGATGATGTGAATCAAAATCAAAACTCCGTGATAGGTTGATAGTTATAGTGATACGATCTCACTAGAATAGTTTAGAATTTGGAGGAGTACATTAAAATTAACATTAATAAATATTTAGAGCGCGTTCGGTAGAGATTAAAATCGGATTAAAATTGAAAAACTAGCTGTTATTGTTGACTTTTATTAGACGAATTGGACCCGATAACGGCCATATTTTCAATTTTAATTGAATTTTAATAGGAAACAAACAGGCTCTTAATATTATCAATGTTTAAAAAGACACATTGTTTTTGAAGTGTTTTCCCCTCGTGAGACGAGGCCTAAGCCTCAATGCGGTTTGAGGCATAAACTTGAGCATAAACCAAAAATTTAAGTCAAAAAATGATTGAAAAATTAAATTGTAATAAACCATAACCAATCTTGTGGTTCTTTATAATAACACACAAATTACAAATAATTAAAAAAAAAATTAAAAATTAATCAATTGTCCATTTGTAATGGGATCTTATTTATAGTCATCGTTGTATCTGCTGCTGGAGTTTTGCGATGTTGCCGGGGGTCCATATCGAATCTGCCAAGGTCTTAGTGGTCAAAATAATAGCAAAGAGAATAATTGCAAAATTTAAAAAATAAAAAATTGTAGTTTTCAATGAAAAGAAAAATATTTGCCAACAATAAAAAAATAAAAGCAAAGAGTTACCCTCTGTGAACTGCCGGCGTCGTTGACCGTTGGCCTTTGGAGTTGATGTAGGAAAAACTGTTTTTAGCTTCTTTGTCTCAGGAAATGGGTGTTTGCTGGAGGTGCGGAGTAGAAGAACTGCAGAACCTTTTCTGGCTTTTTTTTTTGGTCTTAGGTAGCTTGTTTATTAATTTTAGGGATAATTGCAGCAAAAGCTCCAAACCTTTGAAACATTAGCGTACTTTCCCCAAACTTTTGATTTGTTGTAGCCGTCACCCCTAACATTTTCAAATGTTGCAGGTAAAACCCTTTTGGATGGTTTCCATCCATAATTTCGTCAGTTGACCAAAAATTTAACTTTGACCACATTTTTAATATTTTAAAAATGAACAAAAGTGTAATTTTATATTTATCTCATTAAATAATTAAATAAAAAATAAGAAATTAAAAAAAACACACATTCATCACTGTCTTCTTCCTCTCAACTCACCCCCACCTCAAATCCAAAATCCACACCAACCACCTCCAGATCCAGATCAGACCAGATTAAAAAAAAATAAATCCCTTTAACCACCACTACCAAATATATCAAGAGCACTAGCTAGATTCCCTGATTTCCAATTCTATCGGTATTTTTCGAATCTTATAATTGAGACAGAACCTGTCAGCCCACTTCAAATTCTTGCATCGACATTTTTCTTATTGCAAATTTTCTATGAATTTCATCTCACATTTGCTTCCAGAAGCAAAAAATGGTAACTGAGCTCTCTCAATTCGAGGCTAAAATGAGTCTTTTAAAACACACTAGAAGCCGGCGCTCAGCGATCCACCGGGCGGCTGTGTTTCTTTGGAAATCCAGTCTATTTCGGCCACCATTGAAGCTGATATTGAAGCTTATTTGAAGAAGGCTATCCCAATCAGGTCGCCGGTAACTGTCTTTGAGCCTATGCACTTTCGTCGCCGGTAACTGTGATTTTAATACCATCACACCTGTGATTTTAACTGGCGATGATCTTCATTGCGGAAAGGGCGACTTGGAGATGAGTACTCCCAGTAGAAAACTGGTTCTGTGAAATCACCAGGAATATGAGCTGAAGTAATGAGCTGTAGATGTTGGTTGTGAAAGGATGGGTGGAATGTAATAACTCTTATTGGATTCCACATTGCTGAGCTGAGACTAGGTTTCTAGAATTATAACCAATTGGGCACCATCTCCCTACAAACCAGTTTAAGGGGGAGGAGTTCTACTTGATGTGGTAGTTAGAGAAAATTTATTTTTTGATGTTGCCCATTTAGGATTCTAATTCTGTAGTTCTTAATCGGTCTATAAGTTGGGTTCTTCAACAATATGTCGGTTTTCTGGAACTTGTTTTGGGTTTCTCGGAATCAAAAATTTGAGGTTTCTGCTACCTAAAAAAAGTTGGTTTTCTGGAAATTTTAGGCTACAATGAAGTTTGACTATTTCTGCATCTCAATTAGGGTTCTGACTCGCTGGTTTTTATATGTTCTGTTTCATTGGAGGTGGAGGTGGTCGGTGTGGATTTTGAATTTGAGGTGGGTGAGGGTTGAGAGGATGAAGACAATGGTGTGTGTGTGTGTGTGTGTGTTTTTTTTAATTTCTTATTTTTAATTTAATTATTTAAGGAGATAAATATAAAAGTACTCTTTTGTCCCTTTTTAAAATATTAAAAATGTGATCAAAGTTAAATTTTTGGTCAACCGACGGAATTATGGATGGAAACCGTCCAAAATGGCTTTACCTGCAACATGTGGAAATGTTAGGGGTGACGGTTGCAACAAATCAAAGGTTTGGGGAAAATTTGCTAATATTTCAAAGGTTTGGGGTTTTTGCTGCAATTATCCCTTAATTTTATTACTAGTATAATACTTCTTTTATAGTAGATGGACATTAGAATAAGTCAAACAATCATAAAGACATGGTGGGCCCACCTACAAAGGTCACTTTCTGTATATTTAAAAAGACTTCTATAGGAGCGCACACCTCATTATGATACGTGTACACCTTCCCAAAATCGCCTTAAAATTCACGCCTCGAGGCATATTACTTCTCAAATTGAGACACGTTTGAAGGCGCCCCTCTCAAGCGCCTTTTTAAATCATAAATATCATTGGATCTTTCGGTAGTTGTAGCAATGGATTGATTGGGTGGTGAAATAAGAACTCATGCCACTGACCTTTTCTTTTTGTTGGTAATCAAAATTAAAGTGGAAGGAAAAGGTCTATAAGACGGAGTGAATGTGGAAGTAAAAGGTTTCTCAACTTAAATAGTTTTGGAAACAAAATAACAAATATTATTCTTTCTATACGTTAAAGGGAAAGCGAATTTAGACGTGGTGTCAGTAGCTAATGAACTCTTTGGGGAAATATAGCCTAAAAGAAGAGCTGCTATTTTGAAGATTAAGTCTGAAAAGACTTATTATGATCATATAGATTGGGGTTTTTAGACTATGTTCTATAGAAGAAAGGGTTTGAGGATGTATAGCATATGCGTTTTCTCGCATTTCCAATTCACTGATGTAAGCGTGTTGTTTTTCATAGAAGAAAGGGTTTGCTAATTTTTAGGGTCTTGAGTTCAATGCATATGCTTGCTGTACTATGTTTCCAGTTCAATCACGTAGATTTCTCAATTCCGAAGGCAAGTCCTAAGTTTTTTGACTGTCACTATTACTATCTTGCTAACATTATGTGGCCTACCTTTTCCATTTGTCTTGCCTATTTTCTTGTTAGTAAGAGAGGATACACTACTTAATTGAATTTTAACATTTCTATTTATTGCAATGGCCAGCTGAAACTGTAATATACCGAATATTTTACTACGTGAATAGATCGGGTGACGGTCGTCTTACCCTCAGAGAGCTCAAACATTCGAACTTAATTGTTGCAATGCAACATGCAGATGAAGAAGAAGATATCAACAAAGTATTGAGGTAAATATAGGAGCCTCTTCATTGTTTTACATTGGAGGAATGGTTCTTGTTTATTATTACCTTGTTTGTAATTGCTAATGATATATGTGATCTCCTATTCATCCTCATCATTATTCCTTCCCATTTCCCCATTTGCTATAGGTACTTCTCTTATGAACATTTTTACGTGATATATTGCAAGTTTTGGGAGCTGGACACGGATCATGATTTTCTGATCGATAAAGAGAACCTCATCAGATATGGTAACAATGCACTTACCTACAGGATTGTTGACAGAATATTTTCTCAGGTTCATATCCTATGTGTGCTATTTTTTCTATTAAAGCCACATCAATTAGATGACTAATTTATTCATTAATGGTTGCTTCTTCGATTTCTTTAAGTATTTAAATTTAAATTGTCTAAGGTCCCCAGAAAGTTCTCCAGTAAGGTCGAAGGAAAGATGGGATATGAAGATTTTGTTTACTTCATATTGTCAGAGGAGGATAAATCATCTGAGCCTAGTCTTGAGTATTGGTATGTGTGCTCTCTTAATTATAAGTACATCAAGCTAAACCTTGTTTCTATTAGTACCCTTTATTTACCAAAATAAAAAGATGTCGCTAGTATCCAAGCAAATCTGGTTTTTGCATTTTTAAAATTTTTCCTATTCTGAAGTATTTGAACCTTAGGCTCATTATAGATCACAGTTAAGTTTGAATTAATTTTTTTAATGCACAGGAGAATGAAGTTACACGAAAGTTTTCAGGATTTTTAAGTGTTGACAGTTTTGGTCTTCGAGTGGATGGAAATGGTTTGATTCTGGATCATAACTTCTGGCAAAGAGCCTTTTTATTGCTGGGATAACATGATTTTTTTGGGGTTGTAAGGACGTGGTTCTACAGATTAATTGGAGGTTCCCACTATTCCTGCCCGAAAGCAGCCATTTAAGAGTTACAGATAACCCAAGGAAGAATAATATGGTTTTAATTGCCCTCTCTTTGAGTCTCCTGTAGAAGCTGAGAAACTTAGGAACAAATTAAGATGTCTAAATCTTAAACTCTGTTTCCGCAATGGTTTCCTGAAACTTTGTTTTCAAGGAATTTTACTACATGATTGATTACTGTGTTCATGCAAAGAGGAAGGAAAATCATTAATTGCAAGAATTAGTAACAATGGATTAATTGTTGTATCCTTCTTAGCCATTTAGCTTATTTTCATTAATATCTTTTATTCTGTTCTATATGAATGTAAAACCAACTCTTTTTTTTTTTTAACAGGTTCAAGTGCATAGATTTGGATGGAAACGGAGTTATTACAAGGAATGAAATGAAATTCTTTTATGAAGAGCAGTTGCATAGAATGGAATGCATGGCCCAGGAGCCTGTGCTTTTTGAGGATGTTTTGTGTCAGATGGTTGACATGATTAGTCCACAGGTGCACTTCCACTAGATTTTGTTTCTTAAATCTTTTCATCTTTGTGTATCTTGCTTTGTTCCTTTTGTCTTACTGTGCTTTAGGTGCCTTAACAAGCTGTTCTGAGGAGCCAGTATAATAGCCCCGTTTGGCGTGGATTTTACTTTTTGTAGAAGAGTTTTTGGAGGAAGCTAGCTTAATTTTTGTTTGAAAAATAATTTTTAAAACTACTTCATATTCCAGAAGTGCTTTTAGAGAAAACCACATCGAACCGGCATCCTCCAAAAGCTTTTTATAACTAGAAGAAACACTTTTATAAAATTGGCTAAACGGGTCCAAAAGCTGTTTTTAGGTCTCAAAAACTCCTTGTCTTTTCAAAATCAATGCCAAACAGGCCCTTGGGCACTAACTCTCTCTCTCTCTCTCTGTTTCTTTCTGAATTAAATTCTGCTACAGTTATTGCTTGTAATGCTTTTCACGATGTATCTTTATTTTGCTAAATTATTGTGAGTTATAGCTTGAGGTTTAAAGCATGTGACTGCATGGGCCAAGGTCCTTTTAATTTTTTCAGAAGAATTATGCTCAGAAGATGGTATGGACCCCAAGATGGCATTTCAAATCAATGTTAAAAGGCTTGTTTATGAACCGCTTGTTTATGAACCCCTGGAAGTTTATATTGTGGGGATTTTGGGGGGGGGGGGCGTTGGTTGAATCATTTATCTGGTTCATGAAAGGTGGTTATGGCGTAAAAAGATCTCATTTTCGGAAGATGTATGGGATGGGAATGTTCTTTTGGTTCTTAAAATGGGGTGAATCATTTATCTGGTTCACGACATGAAAGGTGGTTATGGCGTAAAAAGATCCCGTTTTCAGAAGATGTATGGGATGGGAATGTTCTTTTGGTTCTTAAAATGTGTAAAGATTAAGATACATTTAAATCAAATTTGATCTCATCTAACTTTAAGGATATAAAAAATTAGTCCAATCTCAAAGTTTAAAGGTTTTTAACTTTTTATTATACAATCTATCTTGGTTGAAAATATTCCTGTCGTGTTGAGACTTCTAGCTTCATATAAACTTGCTCAACAGAAAACTTCCAGGTTAGCTATCCTTGAATTTTTTTTTTTGTAACCTCACTTTTCAGGTGAAAGAATGGATTAATTTTCTTCACGTCTTATTTCTAAGCTTTGGTTGTTTTGCTTTGTTACCTAATCTTTTAACCTATAAATACATTTTGAAATAATGTATCCTTTGCAGTTCTTGTGACACGCGAATTGTTTCATACTCAGGATGAGAGCTATTTTATGTTGCGTGAATTAAAAGGCAGCAAACTCTCTGGCAATGTTTTCAATATCCTTTTTAACCTCAATAAATTCATGGCTTTTGAAACTCGTGATCCATTTCTAATTCGCCAGGTAATGCTTTTTTGCAACTTCATTATGTTTAGTGCATGCTTGATGACTGCAATTTTCAATATGCTTAGCAGGGTTGGCATGATGTATCTCCTTTCTTGTTTTAATTCCTGAACAGGAACGTGAGAACCCAAATTTGACTGAGTGGGATCGCTTTGCGCACAGAGAATATATTAGGCTTTCAATGGAGGAAGATGCAGAAGACGCCTCTAATGGAAGTGCAGATGTTTGGGATGAATCGCTTGAGGCTCCCTTTTAAGTTCTTTATGGTGAGATATTTGTCGACTCCAGGATAAAATTTTTTGTCAGTCGATTAATTTTCATCTGATGACCAATATTTTATCTGGATTTAATGCATCACTGCACCTTTATGGTGATTGATAATTACTGCGTATTGAGCCTAAATAAAAGGTATCAGACTTTATGGGTCTCCATATGGACAAGCGTCAGTCATTTTGATAAGGTAGAAAGGAGACAAGAAACAAGTATCACATGTTCTTCATTATTAATTTGCATTGCTGTGATTCTTGACAACCAAGAATTGATACGGTATAAACTGAACCAGAAAGAGTTTTTATGTAAACCAGAATTCCATTACATGCAAGAAAACTTCACAAGCTATGAACAAAGGCCCATTCCACCAAATCTGTTAGAAAACCTATCCAGGATTATTTACATGTTGGGACAGATTAGGAGATCCAGAATATGAAAAGAAAAGAGAATTTGTCTTTTTTTGAATTCTCTATGCCTGGAAAAACCACTCGTTCTCTTTCTCCACATAATGCAATAAGGTGCAGGCTTCCACTCCTGCCTGCAACGGCCCTTATTAACCCATTATTTGCACCTTTCAATCATATCCTATCATCCCCAGTGACATCAACGTTTAAATTGTTGATCTTTGCAAGTAACATCCGAACTGGCTTCGCTTCCAAGTCCGGCAGATTTCTTCTTAAATGCAAATCCTACCGAACATTGGCCCCCTTTTAAAGGAATATGGCATCAACTGCCCTCTTTTTGTTAGCTGCATATTTGAAAATATAAAAAAATTGTCCTTTAGGGCCACCTCTGTGCACCACTTGATCCAAAATCACATTCTACACACATTTATGGAAGAAAATAAATAAGCACTTTTGAAAACTCATCCCAGGTATGCATAATACCTTTCCACAGAGTTATGCTATAGTTCTATTGAATAAAAAAATTTGATCATGAGCAAACCTCCACTACCATTTCTTTAACAAGTGCTGAAAGGACCAGATAGCAAAAGCCATCTGACGAGGACTCATACTCCATTGATGATGAGATGACTGGTTTACATTCCTTATGTAGTTTGTAATAGCAAGATGAGGTATTAAATGTAGTACCTTGATTGCTTCATACCTATTAGTTTCTTGCTTTGAGTCCTTTTTTTCCGAATCCTTTTCTTCTTTATCCTCATATCTTTCATTATCTTGTCTTCAGGTGTCCATGGTGATTCTTTGTAACAAGCTGCTATCTAGCAGTAGAGTAATTTTGGGCGAGAAGTGGTCAAATGGGATCAATCTGCTCATTTTCAGTAATGAGTGTTTTGAGGACTGTCAATGAAATTTTGAGGTTATATGCACATAGCACGCTTGCCAAGCTAAAGAGTTGGTAATTCCATGTCACAGTGATTTGGAGTAGACTAGTCATGGAAAGAGCGGACCAAATGGCTGGCCGCTAATTGGTAAAGGATTGCATTAGTTTACAAATTTTATTGCTTTCTGTTTGTGTAGTTCTAAGAAATATTATAATTAATTATTTCATTTAGAGCCAATGTTCTTTTCTTTTCCTAGTACAGTTTCCTTCACGGATTAGTGTTGTGATAACTGTGGTTCTTGTTTTATCTGCTTGATGGCTTCTTCAAATTCTTGTTCGTGGTTGTCTGTTAAATTTGATTGTGATGCAGTTTCTTTAATGGTATTTTTTTGAGTGGTTTTGGTTTCTTTATCTTAAATTTTACTATTGTCAACCTGTGTAAGAAGAATCAGTTAGATGTAGTCTTCAGGCTTGCTTGAAGGGTAATCTACTATTTTGGTAGCCAGAAGTTCTCATGGTAAATGAATTAGGGAAAATTGCATTAGTGGTCTTCAAACATATGATCATATTTGCAAGTTTGTTCCCAATCGTTTAAAAATAGCATGTTTGCTTTCAACATTTTGTTATAGCTACACTATCAGTTATCAATGTTCAAATATCCGTTAAATCATCTCGTAGCCCTATAAAGCTAGATTTTAGATTTTGTTCACGAACGTGAATTTGTGTATATATATTCATAGTGAGACACATTTCTATGAGGGTCAGGTGACGAGTTTAAAGAGGGGTCGACACACTGTGTTTGGGGATTGAGCATGCAACTATAATTAAATGTGGAGGATCGCATTGTTTTTAAAGGTTGGGAACTAACTTGTTATCATATCGACAGGTTGAGGACCGATGCTGCAATTCTCCTAGTGAATTGTTAAGGATGAAGGAACAATTAATTGCTCTGTCTTAGCCCAAGTGTTTCCCCGTCTTTTTAATTTATTCCTTGCTTTGGTAGGTTGGATTTAGCGAGTATGTTCGCATCAAGAAAGTTGGGCTCGACTTTGCTCAACTCGCCTCACGAGCTTGTCCTCGGTGGGGTGAGTTGAGCCAGCCGCGAGTCATTAGCCGCTTACTAATTTTTTGGTCGAAAACTGAACTCTCACTCGTCGAAGTATAATGAAAACGTTAGTTTGTAAGTGTAAAACGTAAAAAATTATAAATTTATAAAAAAAACTCTCCCCTTTATCCAGTCTTGGGATCAACTATAAACTTAGATTTTGTGTACATTACTTGAGATACTGGACAATTCTAGTCCTACGCTGTAAGAAGGTTAAATAATTATTTAACAAAGAGGTTGTAAGAGAAGTTAAACTCTTTGTTTTGGAGAGATTAAATTTAGATTTTTAGTAAGTTTTGATAGAAGTTGATGAAATGTGTGGTTAAAATTAATTATTGATTTTGACTTGATTTTTAATTACATTTTTTAGCGGTACCAAATAAGGGCTAAATTGGAAAAAACTGATTCACATTACATAGTATATGAAAACATGTTTAACAAGTTATAATACAATGTGCAAATGTTCCACTTTCTTGTGTAATTTTTTTTTTGTTTTATGTATTAGTCCGACTTGTAATTCGATTGGATCCGTCCATGCTTTAAAGTAGATAACACAAAAAACAAAAGCTAGGTAAGAGAGGGAAAGAGGCTAAAGAGCCTACTCAAAGGTCCCAACCCAACAAAGAGCCTAACTTTTACAATGTCAACTGTTAAACGCCTCTTTCATAGAGAGACAAAAATACCCTTCTTAAAGTTTTAAAATTACTAAAATAAGCTAAAGGTAAAAAGACATGAATACCCTTTCAATTACAAAGAAGAGAATAACACGGTAAACCTAATTCAAATTTCAAACAAATGAACAACACTTTTATTCTTCATTCTCCGAAATCCCTCCTCTGATACTAAACTCTCACCGATTAATATTCTACTTATTTATATTTGTTTACAAAACTCGACACAAGTATTTGTAAACAGTTATTAGAACCCAATATTGTAGCATTTTGAACGCGTTTTGTTAGTTTGAGTTTCGTTTATATTTCTTAAATGTTATGTTGGTTTCATTTAGCGTGTTTAGATAGCTGGGTACGAATCGATGGACAGATTTCTTAATTTTTGAGCAAATTTATGAAAAGAAGTCTTCATTCTGTACTTTGTTATGAAACAAATGGCTTGTCAATTGAACACATTTTTAAGAGGCAATTGGTTAACCGACCATCTATTAAGAGTCGGTCGTTTAAAAAATGATCGATTAACAAATTGACTCTTAACGGATGGTCAGTTAATCGATCGCATGTTTAATGCTATGTTGGCTTCCATTTGCATGTTTAGATAGATGGGCACGAATTATTGGAGATATTTGTTAATTTTGAAGTAAATTTATGAAAAATAAGCCTTCATTATGTACTTTGTTATGAAATAGATGGCTTGTCATCGACCACATTTTAAGAGGCAATCGATTAACCGACCGTCTATTAAGAGTCGATCTGTTAACAAATGATCGATTAATATGCAGAACTCTTAACGGCTTGTCAGTTAATCGATCGTCTGTTAAATGTAACGTTGACTTCAGTTAACCGTGCTCTTTGTCACCCCATTTCCCTTGGGACCAAATAGATAGATCCACTTTACACCTAATACAATTTAACTCTATACGTAAATAGACAATTATCCATCTCAATTAATTAATTAAATCTTACCCAAATACCCACCAATCATCACAATTGTGAATGCAAAAGCTTCAAATGGTTGTTGAACAACTGTTGTTAAACCATATTTATCGATAACCTATTAACAATTAAGTCGAGATTTTAATTCAAACTCACACTATTTTTTTTTCTTTCTACCAATAATTTTGTTGAATTTTGGCTAAATTTTCAGGCCGCTTTATCCGATTTTTTTTTTATAATAGTTTGTAATATTTTTATTGGTAGTTGTGTTATTTCGTTCTAACTTATGCTAGAGTTCCATGAATTTTTAGCGGATGACATTTTATTTATTTATTTGCTTATTCAATTTTTTAGTCAGGTGACTCAATTAATTATTTACATTTTAACTTGATTTTTAGATGTTACTGTTAAGTGCTAGAATGATATGGTGAATTACTTAATTGTTCATCGTGAGGATTTGACTAGTGAACTTTTCGACGTATTATTTAGGTAAAATTGAATAAATAAGTTCAAGATTGTCTTCCCAAAGATGTGTTAGCAATTTAAATAACTACAATTATTTTCAACTCTGCATTCTCTACTAGTGGTCAAATTCTTTATTCCTTTAATAGTTTGTTGAGCGCAAATATGGTTGAATCAGAGATTTGTCTTAAAAATTGGTTGCATAGCAACAAAGAACCTATAGTGATTTATCGTGTTTGGATAAGTTATAAGCTTTGGATGATTCACATAAGTTGTAGAACATATTATCATATTCATTTTATTTTATTTTATTAGTTATTTTATACCATTTAACTATAATCAATGAATCCATGTGTTATATTCTTATCTTTATGGAGACAATGAGTTATATGTTACAATTGACCATGTTGCGTCAATTAGTATCAATCAAGAGGTTAAAATATTTCTATCATGTTATCGCATTTTAATAATTAGAATTATAATACTTTAATTTGTAATATTTTTAATAATATTATTAAAAATGTTTATGATTTAAATTATTCAATATATATTATTATATTTTTTTTTGTTAAACCATGGTTTTAAACCAAACTAAAATGAAAAAAAGTGGTTTGGATTGGTCGCTTTAAGTGATTTTGTTTGAGAATTTATCAAAAATCGTTTAAATCGAATTGTATTCACCCCTAAGACATGCTTGTCAAAATGAGAACCATATATAATAAAATATTGTGCAAAAAGAGTTATTACTCCAACAAAAATAAAATATTATGTAGTTGATAATTACCACAAACTTTATATGCTCATATAATAAAATTAATTTTTTTTTTGTTGACGTAGAAACCCGCAGTCTCTACCCGTCAGCGAAGTCCCGACCACTATGAGTGCGCACTATGTAAACTCCGTTCCATGTGCAATAGCCCACAAGCCACACATGAGAGGTAAACCGCACTAGGCAAGCTTGGTGCGACGGGCTCGACCGAGGAAGTATTGGCAGGAGATTCAAACTCGTGACTTTTGGTCTCCGTATTCACCTGCTCCACCAACTCGACCACCCTCAAAGGGGTTAATTATTCTTATTTTTCTTTGTAAAAGGTGTAGCACCAAAGATTTCTATTAATAAATCACCATATTGATAATATTTGACACAAGGGGGGTCATCAATCATCAAAAGGTCTTCATTAAATATAAGTAACTATCAATATTACCATCATAAGATACTCATTTTCGATTGCATTTGATGATAAAATACACTTAAACGAATATAATTAAGGGAAAATTGCCGCCATGGTACCAAATATTTCATTTAGTAGTAGACTTTGTTTAAACATTTCATCTGTGCCACTCACGGTACCTAACCTTTCAAAATGTAGCAGCCAGAGTCCAAATGAAACCCATCCATTTGACCATTAGTCGACCAGAATAGTAAAAATTGATCAAATCTAATAAGGGCAAAATAATAAGTCTACAATTTTAATATAAAATAATTATAATAATTAGAAAAAGAAAAAAAAAAAGATTCTTCTTCTTCTTCAGATCCCCCACCCCACAGATCCAAATCCAAATCCAAACGTGTTGATACCTGTGGCATTTTTAGAATTGTTGTTCCCATTGGAGGTATTTTTTGCATTTTTCTTCCCCTTCCTTGTGGTCGTCGTCACACATCCTTGCTCTTCTTCTTCTTCTTCTTCAATTTCTTGCTTGTTTTTGCACATGTGGCTTTTCCATTTTGGGTGGGGGTGTAGTTCCCTCCATGGCTGAGGGTGTTTCGACAATTTCATTCTCTAGGAGCTCAGGTTTGGACAAGTCCGGTAGTTATTTTAGCTTCTTCGGCTGGGACTTTTCTTCCTCCGAATCCAGGTGCGAAATTGGGGAATGTTGGGATCCATTTTGGTAGGATTCCAGAGCTAGTGGAGTTTCATGGTTGGAAATTTCATCGGAGGAAATTTCATCGGATGCAAGGTTACCAGCAAATCCAAAGGTGGGGTGGGGTTTCTGGAGTGGAAGAAGAAGAATCTTTTCTTTTTTTTTCCCTTTTTCTAATTATTATAATTATTTTATATTAAAATTGTAAACTTACTATTTTACAATTTTAGATTTGGTCAATTTTTAGTATTCAAGCCAATTAACGGTCAAATAGATGGTTTCTATCCATTTGAACTTCGGCTACTACATTTTGAAAGAATTGGATCGTGGGTGGCACAAATGAAAAGTTTGAACAAAATCTGTTACTAAATGAAATGTTTGGTACCGTGACTGTTATTTTCCTTATAATTAATTCCAGCTATTTATATGAATGTAAATGAAACAATTAACACTAGCGAAAATTGTAACGGAGGTCCCAAACCTTTCATTTCATTGGATGTATTATATCTAGAATCCCGTTAGTCAACACTGAAACTGAAATTTTGACTCAAATTAACATATTAAATGGAGGGTAAAATTATCAATTTATATTTCTATAATTAAATAATTAAGTCAAAAAATTCATCTTCTCCAAACCCCACACCTCTCTACCCTTACCATGAAACCCGATCAAAATCAACCACATCTGATAACCATGGATTAGCACTATTCGATAGAGCCAGTGTTTGTAGCCATTTAACTACACCGAATGCATCATCCATGGCTCTCGAAAAGCGATGCTTCAGCTCAGGCGATAGTCGACTGAGTAACCACCACGGTAGCGTTGAAGAAAGCCGGAGGCAACTGTTATTACAGTTTGCCGACCAATCTAAAACCCACTGCCACTTATTTCGCTATCAACGGCTTCGCCACCCAAATATATCACACTCCACTACGATCAAGCCTATTTGCCAACGCCTGATTCTTGAGAACATTTTGAATCCCAAAGCACTATCCAAGAATGTAGTGAGGAATGCGGAGCATACAAAGCAATTTCACTAATTAGTTTTGATTTTTTTTCCAAATTTTTCATTTTTGGCGTTGCTGTTAGATGAAGTGTAAATGAATTTGCTTTCTCAATTAGATTTGAAGCTTATTGAGATTGTTGTTAGACAATGAGTAAGAAAAGCAAAATTATTTGATTGATGGCAATGGTAGGGCAGTGTTGATGTGACAACAATGGTTGGTGTTTGTGGTAAGAATTCATTGAGTTCTAGTCTTTTATTTTGGAGGTGGGGGTGGGGTGATTTGGAGAAGACAGAGTTCATTTTTTTATTTTATTATAGAAATATAAATTGACCATTTCCATCATATAATCTTTCAATTTGAATCAAAATTTTAATTTCAGTGTTCACTAACGGGATTCTGGATGGAATCCACCTAATGGACTCCGGCTGCTATTGAAGTAAAAAGGTTTGAGACTGCAGTTGCGAAAATAGAAGGTTAAGGTATATTCTGCAATAAAATGAAAGGTTTGGGACTTCCGCTACAATTTTCCCTTAACATTATTCATTGCAACACCAACCAAACAATACATTATAGCACGTTATCAAGCAGCACATTTTAATTGCAACTGCCAATATAATTATTAATTTTTAAAAATTTCAAGAACATCCAAAAAAGAAAAAAAATTATGAGATAAAGTAACGTGCAACGCACGCGCTTGCCACCCTATAAACATCCTTCACAAATGCCCCGACAGCCACGTACTCCGCGATCCCTCTTTCAAAAGCTTTACACCGCGACCGTGGTGGAAAAAAGAGCCAAATGCCCGTGATCATCATAAATCCAACGGTGGAGATCCTCGCTATAATCTTGGGTACGTGGATCCTCACCCTCTTATTATTTGACTTTTTGACCGCAATCTCGGCCGTTAAACGCGCGCCATGAAGCAAGAAAAACCGGGTGACTTCCCAAGTGGTTTTCGCGCGGCCCAAATAGAAGAATATGAGCTCATGAATGAGGCCCGATACGACAAAAGTGGACATGATAGCAGGGAGTGCAGCCCATTTGTGGCCCAAAATGTTAATTGACCAGCTGCGTACAGGGATGTATATTATAGGACGCAGTATACGGGATACCATGATGTTCCACCTATGACCCCAAAAATCTTGCAGTGACGTCGAAAGGTATGGCTCATTGAACTGTCGCTCTAGCTCGACTCCAAGCAGATCCCGAACCATGGCTGCAGCAATGGCTAACCCAATCTCCAAGCAAAAGTACATGTAAAAACAGTTCATTCCAAGTATAATTGTTGGATGTAAATAGTCACTATAGTCGTGATTAATCTTGATTAAGAAAGCAAACAAAAGACCCTTTGTAGCATAGTTGAAAAGTGATTTATGGGTTTTTTCAGTGTGAGAGTTTTGAAGCTTAATGGGTAGACAAGCAATGGCGAGAAACGTCGAGAGGGAGAGTACTGAAGGATCGGATAAAGGGCCTTTGTTGAAAGCAAACATGAGTAGCTTTAAGTTGGCTAGCATCGCGATAGAGAAGGAGGTGAAGCCCACGAAGTGCATGGAGTGGAGCTTGAGAGGGAGGAGGAGGAAGAGCAAGATGACCGGGAGAAAGGTGACGAGTCTTGTGGTTCGTTTAGAGAGAATCTTGCCGGAAAAATAACAGTAGGATAGAGATACCAGCACTGATAGACATAGTATGATGAAATTGTTCATTTCTCCTTCCATCCAATAACTCAGCACCTTATTCATATCAGTATCACCCTCCATTTTCTCTATATCTATCAGTAATGTGTATGTTTAATTTCTTGATTGCCTGCCATAGGATTATAGGCTATATAGGCTTTAAGTTGGCTGAAAAGAACTCCAAAGACTTATTTCTTCGGAGGAAATTGATGTTAACATTACAACTACTACAATTCAATTGTTTTTAGAATTGAATTTAAGGGCCTGTTTGATGTAGGTTTTTGGAGAATGGATTATGTGCAAGTATTTTTTTGGAGAACGTGTGAATAAAAAATAGGAAGAAATTATGGATGCACGTACAAAGTTATTTTATTGAGAGAATATGTGGTTGAAAATAAGTTTTAAACAATCTGTATCAAACATGGGCTAAATGTTCCAAATTTGTGGACTTTAATGGTTTCTATCTTTCATTTTTGTTGAACCACTTCATCTAAAAATTTAAATATTATCTTCGACGGTTTTAGATCAAGTCTTGTTCATATTATCATGGAAGTCTTGCACGTCTTGTAAATGTATATATATGCATGATTATAGATTGGGAAAACCTACACCTTAAAATGGAAAATTGAGATGAAAATAGCAAAAGAAATAAAGATGAAGGATAAAGACATTAAAAGAGCGCTTCTATCACAAAAAAGAAAGAAAAATACCCTAAGGCTATGTTTGATAACCCATTTTTTCCATGCAAATGGTTGTTTGATAGGTTTTTTATTTTTCCATGGAAAATTAATTCAATGATCCCCCACACATGCATCAATTCCTCAAAATGAAGATTTAGGTGGGAAAACGGTTTCTGGGTTATTATTATAAATTTTTTTTTGGCAATTGACACAAATTTTATCACCAATTGTAAAAAAAAATTATCTTTAATGGACAATTTCCATAAAAAAACAAAGTCAAACGAACACCAAAAGATCCAAAATTTAAATATTTTCCACGTGAAAAATTATACCAATTAAACACAATTAATTGACAATTCTCAGGAAAACAATACTAGGCAATTCAATTCCCTAGAATTCATTTTCTTTCCACCCAAATTTCACTCTTACAATTAAACGGACCCTAAGAGTATAAGTTGGTGACGTCACATGGTATTTCGTGGTATTATTATCATATACCTACTCACCAAAAAATATGCATAGATTTCTACTAGTGTAAAGGTAAAATAAATAATAGAAGATACACCATTAGAGCAAATACGTGTAAGCAAAATAACATGATGTGACCAGTACAATATCTACTAAAAATTTGATTTTATTCCTCACCAAATAAGGGCTAGTTCTTTCTTGTTTTATTTATGATGAGCAATACAAGCGTGGTGCTGCTTGAGACAGTATGGAATCATTTCCTAATGATGGAAATTGTGCCAATTCCTTAAGTGGAAATTACACCCTCCCTTATATTTGGAGATTCAAATTCTAAAATCAGATTTAGNTAAAATTTATCACTCTAAATTCATCGACTAATATTTATCCTTATTAAATGTTTTGAACCTTTTATAATTTTTTAGACTTTACATTTAACTAAAATTCTAATATTCATAAAACATCTTCGACTAAAGCCAAAATAAATAATAGAAGATACACCATTAGAGCAAATACGTGTAAGCAAAATAACATGATGTAATCAGTACAATATCTACTAAAAATTTGATTTTATTCCTCACCAAATAAGGGCTAGTTCTTTCTTGTTTTATTTATGATATCGCTTTTGTATTCATAACAATTTCTAACTTTCAATTTATATTAAGTGAATTTCAATTTTTCAATTGTGTAGTATTTAAGTCATCATCATAAACTATTCGTTTTAAGTGTGAAACAATCAAATTTATATTAAAAATAATATTATGTCCTTATTTTAAAATTGATTGCAAATTTTTGCAATTGTTTTTTATTTCTTTTGAAAAGATTGTGGCCAGGGTCAATCGTTGGGGCATTTTATTTTATCTTCCAACTTTCCTGGTTGACAGAATAAATTCAATAAAAAGAATACAAAAACAAGTTGTGCTTGTCAGAGGACATTGTGTTCGACTGTTGCCGAGTATTTGTACTTGGCCATAGTGGGAAATGGCAAAAATGTTGTGTCAATACAAATCACTTCCCATAGTAGCGACGAGCGAAATGGGAGTAGTCTAAACCATGAAAACGATGTTATGGGAGAGCAATACAAGCGTGGTGCTGCTTGAGACAATATGGAATCATTTCCAAATGATGGAAATTGTGCCAATTCATTAATGTTAAAATTAATAGTTAACAAAAATGAGTGCTCAGCACAGTTACCATGTTCGATAAAAGATCCATTTGTATACAATAATAATCGATATAATTTAGTGATAAAAGTGTGATTTATTTTATTAACCCTTTAATAGTTAAAAAAGGATCTTTTGATCTTAATCATATTTCGGTCAAAAAATTCTCAAAAAGACTTAATCCTTTACCTCTCAATGAAAAATTCGAAAAATAAAAAATCTCGTATCTCTATCCATGAGTCACTTAGAAATTGGAAAATTGAATTATGAAATTGAGAAACATATTTTTGAATTGGATCGATACTTCCAATTGAATTAGTATAAGGATCCATGGCTGAATACGGAAATTAGATTTATAATCGTAATTAAATCCTCCATTATTTATTTGTAGTGAAAGAAAAACAGTATACAGCCAGTTGTAGCGCTATTCATGTTAGTTTTTCGACAGTATTGTCCAGTCTCTCAATGCCCAGGTAGTGCTTCTTGTCATGAAAAATGCAAATGAAGGACTTCGAAGAATGCAATTCTGAGGATCATTCCATAGGGAATATTAATGGACGAATGGGTTATTGTGTTTTCATTCAAGAAGAGTCACTGAATAATTGTTTTCTTTCTATAGATTCAAGAAACATGTTTCAGCTGCTGAAATGGGTGAAAATGAGGTAATCAGTCTATTAAAACCTCTTCATTCTGT